ACTTCTTTTTTTTCCCCTCCACCCCCCCCCCCCCCCCCCCCCCCCCCCCCCTTCTTCTTTTTAGTAACCATTGATGATCCCATCAAAGAGGTCACTGACCTGATGGAGAGCACCAAGGAGGAGGGTTGGGAGAGAAGCCTCGCCAACAAGCAGGTCACGTTTGTGGTCTATCGAGAGAATGACCAGCTAAACTTCTTCCGAGTGGTCGACAGGGGAGACGGCACCCTGACCCCTCTGTCTGAATCCATGAGGTTGGGATATTGTCAAAATGTCTTTGTTGTTTTAACAGCACAGTTATTTTATCATTATAGAATCCCTCAAATAGAACAATGCTCATAAAATGAATTGGGCCAGGGGTTTGCTCATGTAATCATTTAATGTACAGTAACATCAGAAAAACAAACTACTGCATTAGATTCTGAGCGTTAAGCACAAATGGAGCAAACAGGATAAATGAGTGTAATTATCTAATTATACAGTCAGTGTGGAGTTGAGTACTTAACATTGATTAATCAGTGGTGGTTGTGGCAGCTGAGTTCGGTGAGCAGGGCCGCTGAAGAGACTGCCGACAGCTTTGTAAGATCACTAATGGGAAGAGTGTTTTCGTGTTTTCCAGCGGTGGCTCGGTGTACAATGTGTGTGCAAAGGAGGAGGAGGAGGAGGAGGAGGAGGATGAGGAGTGTTCTGCAGCTACACAGCAAAGCCTTGAGAACTCCATCACCATGAACAAAGTGAAGCTGCTCAAAGCCAAGATGGAGGACATGAACCTCAACAAGAAGGTTGGAAGCTACTGGGATTCCAGAAACCTGTGAACTGTTCTGCCTATTAGAGAGCACAAATGTGGCCTCGACACATTCGTTTTCACACACTTTTAAATGTTGGCATCTTGTGAAAAACAGGCATTGTCTCCTTTTCTTCCAACAGTTTTTGCTTCAATTTTTTTTATCAATAAAATAAGGAACCAAATGTTGTCGAATATTTGCACCACGTGGAATCCTGCTTTTCATAATCGTAGACAAAAGATGGTAGCCTTTGCATAATGCAGATGTGCTGCACCAAACACTCATTTGCATGCGTTTATAAAACGATCGAGCTTTTCAATTCATTGAACTGTACTCGCCCTTTTAAAGATTTTACAGAATGGGGAAAAATACTGCAAATGTTCAGTACATTTAAGAGGATCCGGCGGTATAATCTGTCTCTGTCTGTGTCCTCCAGCCGAAGAAGTCAGCTAAGGTGAAACCGCGGCCCCCCGTCAGCCCACATCCCTGCGGTGGCTCTCTAGGACCGACCAGCACGCGAAACCACCATCGCCTCTTTCGCTCGCTCTCCCAGATAAACCAGCCTTGGCAGTCAAATGTACAACTACCTCCAATCACAGACCATGAATCCATGGACCCCTTCCCGCTCTCTGCTGCCGCAACCTCTGCCCACTTCTCTATCCCGAGACGACCCCCTCCCGCTTTCCCGTCGCCATCTTGTTATATGCTTCAGGAGGAGGAGCCATGGGAGACGTGCCCACCATTTGCAAAGATCCGGCCCCCTCCCAAAGTGTCCCGGTTAGACATCGGCAGCACCAGGTTGATGAGGGACTGTGTGTACCCTCAGCTCCCTCCGCTGTGTATCAGGGGTCCACTTGAGGCCACCTTTGACCCGGCTGAGCCTCCGGGGGAGGCAGTCAGGCTGAGTTTGTTGGAAGAAGCTGCTGGGCTGATGATGCCGGCTCAACCTGGAGCTCCGTTTGGGGAACTGTTGGACCCTCTGACTCTAGACGTGTCCACCCAGCCGGAGGGAGGTCATCGGTCGTTCGAGGTTGGGGCTCCGCACCAGTTGCCGCTCTGCCCATCCCCACTCGGTACCTGGATACCCGGGCCAAGTGATACACTCACCAGCAGAGGTGATAGGACGCAGCTCGGCACACCATTTCATATCGGCTCCCCTTCGCCATCAACTTCTACCAGACCGCTGCCTCTGGCTTTCGATTCCACTTTCTCCTGTTTACAGCCCAACCTTCAATCCCAATCGTCAGCACAGGTGAAGCCAGGCAGCACATCCCCTCCCCCCTCCACCACCATGTCCACTCATCAGCTAAGCATTCGTGGGGTTAAAGTGGAGTCACCTGGCAAGAGGCCAGAGCTTATTTCCAAGAGGGAAGCGAGAGGCATCACTAAGATGGCCAACCAAGCCTGGAAGGAGCCAGTTGGGTCCCTGAACAACTCTGAACTCTTGGCATCGCTCTCCGCCAGGGCTCCAGACAGCATCAACAGCCGGGACGGCCTGGGAGAGAGTCTGGGACTCGCGTTGGCATTGCCCCCTGCTACTGCCTCAGGACCGGGCAGCCATGGCTCCACGCTGCCATCCATCCAGACCAACAGGCTCCTTCAGGATGACCTGATAAGACAAATGTCACCGCTGCGCCGAGCAGCAGCCTCTTACATGGTGAGTGCAGAGAGGTGTCGGCTCTTGCTGCGCAGATTAGATTTGTGGAAAAGCTTTCAATCCCCAATTCATAGTTTATTTTATTTTTGTATTATTTATGCTATAATTGTCACGGCATTGTCTTGATGTGACATTCACTGAATGGAAGATCTCAATCGGGTTCATTTTCTAGAGCAAAGCACACAATATGATGATGAAAAACACAATACCCAAATAGTCCTTCTCAGTTTATATATTTTATTAAACTGCTGTAGTCATCAGACATTAACCCATAAGTGACTCTGTGAGGTATACTGCGTGTGAGATTCAATTGATACAATGTGAAATGGATTTCAGTGAAATTTAATATTTCAAAATGTGTCATATTGCAGCAGTCACTGCCTTGTTAATAAGTTAGATGCACGAGGAGAAATGCAACTTTTAGTCAGGATTGATGGAAAACAGCTGAACTATAAGAAATCAGAGGTTAAGTATATTAAAATAATCCTGAAATGATCTCCCCTTCTCTACGGAACATCAGTTTTCTCAAAATATTTTAGAACTAATCGTTGTTTTGCTTCACCTGTGTATATCAAAATATATATTTATAGCCTCACTTTTTGACGTATATAGATGATTCTTACTGATTGCATTGATTTGCTGTCAGAATGTTTCATGTTGCTGTTATCTTCTCAGGCCACCACCCCTCTTGCATCGGCTGGACTCATGACACCATTCGGGAGAATAGGTAAGGGAGACGCACAAACATCTAGAGGTTGTGTTACACATTCTCCTTAGCTGTCGTTTTGACAGATTTTTTTCTATATATAAATGACTTGCATATAAAGAAAGTGTTGCATTGTTGTGGTGGGGATTGCACATTTGAGTTGTGGACCTTTCAGCCATCAGTTGGACCAGAGGGCATTGTAGCCGATGATTGTAGATGCAGTTCTTGAGGTGCGGTGGCATATAGAGGATGCTGTTATGTGAACGCCTTTTAATGCATGTTGAGTGAGCGCTACAACAAAGCACCACAAAGGTTTTAAATATTCATTATTTCTTCAACTGCAGTAGCAGCACAAACAGCAGCAGGCGCCAGGCCTGCACACAAGCACACTCGCATATTTATGTCGACCACGAACATGCTCAGACTGTTCCCAGAGAAAGATATACATCATGTACTGAGTCGAGGTATTCCTATTGTCCTCTAGTACTGGAGATGTGTTTCCAGTGTTCCCCAACGGCTGACAATGTGTTGATGAAGGTCGAAGGATCGACTGCTAACACTCAACAACCAGACTAACGACTGCACGGGATTTACTTATAAGTCAGCATTTTCACAAAGACTTGTGAAAGAGATGTTGTTTTGATATTTAAATGAGCTTTCTAAATAAATTCCATCTATCAAAGACACTCAGTATGCGGACTCTGGTGTTCACGCCTCCCATGAGTCATTCAAAAAAGATGAATTCAGTCCTCAATAGATTAGTTTTAGAGACACTCTAGGCACCTACACTCTTCCACGAGTGTTGCCAGATTATATGGGAGTTCTTGGTAAACTATATATATTTTCAGTGGGGTTCATGTCTGGACTCTGAAGAGGCCATTTGGACTTAAATCTGCTGTGTTATTGTCCTGACTGTCTTGTTGTGAGTCATCCCTCCACTGTGAGAATACATGAGCTTCAGACTATCATTTCCCCAAGGCTCTATATTTGACATCATTCCTGATTCCCTCGATCAGGACATTCCTCTTCAGTCTGATATCCTCACAGTGATGATGCAGGAGGCTTTACTGCAGGGACATGCTGGCCACTTGTAAGCCGTTTGGCATTTCGGGTACCGGACCCTCATACTTGTTCTTGAGTGCAGTTTTATAGAAGTTGTTTTTGTGACTTAAGTTATCAAAACAAATGAAATGCATCTAAGATCAGTCTGGTCATAACGATCTGAAAGCACGCAGTATGTAAATGAGGCCTTTCTGTGTTTTTGTTTTGTAGCGTTGCTTTGTCATCGTTGGGTAATGTGTCGGAACAACCGGAACGTCCCTAAGTGCAACATGTAGTTCTGCTAGTACGGCTTTATTTTACATGTCGGTCATTTCCTAATAATTCCCTGGAGGCACCTGTGTAATTTGGTACTAATTGTAGAGGAAATGGAGACGGTGTTCAGTTGGATAGTTTCCATTAAGAAATAAATTATTTCAAGGAAAATGTTTCCCTAATGAAAATAATAATTACTACCTCATAGTTCTTTCAAGGAAACTTCCTTGGAAATTCATAGGAAAGTCCAGACCTGTGAAAGCAGACATTGATTGTTCTGTAGAGCTATTGTTCATAGAAACATTTCATTGTGCTCTATTACAACATTGGAACCTTTTCCTCTGTTGCCAGTGACTGAACTCCAGAGCAGCACAAACTAAACGCAGTCGGTGTTTGAGTTCCATGATGTCCCTACAGGGCTGCTCTGTGCGCATCAGATCCTCCGCATTACATGAGTCAGATTAGGATTGGGACACATCTTAATTAATATTCATAAAATTCAAGTTAGGTCTACTTAACAGGATCATGTGGAGAATGTGCTTGGTTCTGAATATATTTGAAACCTCTGTACGTCTGTACGGCAGCAGATGAAAATGCACGAAACAAATCAAAAATCCAATCCCACACCCAGCTGCTTGACAGTGAGCTTCCTGTACCTTCATCCGTTTTATCTGTGTTCTTGTATCCCCACGGCTCACGAACCTGCCACGCTGCTGCATGCTCCCACAGACACAAGCTGACACGAACCGGGCTTCCTTGACTTAGGAAATGAGTTTGTTTACTGACGCATTTTCCTAAATTCGGACTTGGTAATGGTTCATGTGGCAAAGCCTGAAAATGTCCTGAAACCCCTTTCAAACAAGTATCTGGACCATTTCAAGAATAGCGTCTTTTGCTGCTGTTTACGTCTAGTTTAATTGACTGCAGATATTTAAAATTGCACACTTTGTCTTAACCCGCGCTTGAAATGTATGAACGCTGAAGACTGACAGGTTTTTTTTTGTTTTTGTTTTTTAAATGTTCAGGGAGACTTAATAGCACATTGCATTTCTGGTCACACTCCAGTGTTTGATTTCACAGCAGGTGTTTTGTCTTTTAACAGCTGCTAAAAAAAAAAAAAGAGAAGTGCAATTTTGAGTTGATCTAACCTTTTTATGGCGCCGTGATTACTGCGCTGGATCAAGCTTATTCAAATTTGAAGTTTTGTGAAAAGTTCAAGAAAGTGTGTGTGTGTGTGTGTGTGTGTGTGTGTGTGTGTGTGTGTGTGTG